CCCCTTTCTTTCTGCAAAACGACTTTGTTCACCGCAAGAACCCATTTACAAAACCAAACGTTGCCAGAGGCAAAAAGTGTCACGGGAACGGTGCTGCTCCCTCTCCCGCTGTCAGCACCAGTTCTGTCCTCACCGCTGTAACCAAGTGACAGGATCCCAATACCGCACGGCTGAGCTCCAGGCTCCCCCCTTCAAACCGACACCCCCCTGACCTCGGAATCGCTGCTGGACTTTGACACCAACAAACGCTAAGCAGGTAGTTCCTGTGCTTGCCCTCCAAGAAGGAGGTGCCCACCATCAAAGAGCCACCCTGCCCTCAACAACAGCACCGGGAGTACAGAACAACTGCACTTGCAACACAAGAAACTTCAGAGCTAAAACGCCTGAATTCAACCAAGAAGGAGAGGGAGAAATAAGTCAAACGGACTTAAATGAGATGGTTCATTTACAGTCATGAGAATGGACCTAGGGAAGAAAACACTTTCCAAACGAGAACAAATCAAGGTTTACTGCTGAACAAATAACCAGAGGAATGAAGTGCATTGCTTTTCTACTTCTACGTTTAGCATCGTTTAGAAAAAGCAAATACAGTGCAGAGTTTACAAAAGATGTGTACAATGCTAAGTGTAAATACAGGTTCGGGTAGAGAGAAAGTGAAGGCTCAGCACCCAGAGCAGAGTTGCCACAAGTGACAGGAGTAACATGCAAGAACAGGGAAGAAGAATGTAGCAGAGGCAACAAGGAGAATAGGTCCCCACAAAAACACAAGTTAAATCTGTAACAGTTACAAAAACTTCAATCAGACTCTTTGGAAAACGCTACCTTTAAAGACATAACTATTTTCCTCTGGCTTTTTCCAAAACACAAACATCAGACAACCAGTGAGAGAGAAACAGCCGTGGCTCCCCTTACCTTCCTGAAAAAAAAAAAGCTGTTGCATCATACAAGGCTGCACTGCATGAACAAAGATGGTGAGTCACACAGGAAAACTGGGCAGAGCATCCACAGAAAGAAAATAAATGTTAGTGATCATTTACATCCTTGGAAGACCCATCACATAATTCACCCAGACACAGGCAGCTGTTTTTGCAGTGACACCTTGGTAGCTCTAAAATATGCATAGCAAGTTCTTGTGCAGGCCTGCATTATACATTTAAATTGCAGAATGTTAGCAGTTTGCTGGAACAGAATGTTTGTTAGCCCAAAGTTTCTCTTTCATAACCTCACATTATCTCTTTTTCCTTAATTAAAAAAAAAATAAAATCTATCCTAACATTTTTCCTTTAAAGAAATGGAGACCTGAAATTCTGCCTTGTAAGTAGTTTCATGAAATGCCCAGTTTTTTTGTAACTAGTAATCCCAATGTTGGCCAGCAGTAGTTTTGAAATACCTGAAACAGTGATGCTTTGATGCAAGTTCGTAACATAAAGAAGCTCACTGCTACTCTGTTTTCTCTAAAGAAGATGTGAGAAAACTATAAAAAAATCAGAATTCAGTTAAACCTACTGGATGGTAATAGGGCTACATGGAAAATTATTTAAGGGACCAAACAGGTAAACAAATTATTGAGTTAAGAAACAGGGAAGAGGATCCACAGCAGTGGATCACTGATAGATCATTAACTAACATTTTAATTGACAACAAAACGTGTGTGAAACATAGATTAAATTTGCAAAGCAAAAAACACAAGGCAGAAGCCAGCAGAACAGGAAGGCATCTCTGAAAATCAGGTAGGTAGGAATTAGGACACATAAAAAGATAGTACAGATGGAAACTGATGTTCAGACAGAATACTGTGAGCTTGGGCTGCATGTGCAGAGACCACAGGACATAAATGACAATGTTACTTCAGATCTGGGGTTCTCATTGACAGAAAAAGCAAAGTCACAAAATTCTGCAGGAGTTAAACTCGTAATTAAAAATATATATAGTGAAAAGGACAGACGTACCAGTTTGTTGAAGTAGCTTCAAGGGGCCATGAGGAAAAGAAATGTTGTAGGCTGAAGCTTCCAGAGCAACACAAAGTACAATGGGGTTACAAACAACATTGTCTAGTTAAGTAAAAATTCCCCAAGTCACTCTATGGAGACTTACACTTTCAAAGGTTCTCCTGAATACCATGGACATCAGGTTTGCTTTCACAGGGCTACAGTCTCAGGAGGAACACATGCAGAAATGGAACAAAATCCACTGCAGATTTATGAAGATGTAAAATAAAGAGACACATCTGAACAATTATTTAACACACAAGCTTGAGGTGACAGGCAAAACCTGCCAATTTTGGCTGGAATAGTCACCAAGAGAACTACTGGGGGCCCTCTTGCTTGTGGTATTTAAGATTCAATAATGGGCAACACAGATGCACAGATCCAAATTCTAAGGATTCAGACAACGTGGAGCAGGATGGGTGTCCTCATTTCCCCCCACTGGAAGTGAAAATACCAGTTTTTCTCCTTCTACAGTAGTAGGGCCAAGTGAATAATCAAAAACAATAGACATACTTACTGTGCTGAAAATTAACTGCAGGCCTGTTGTCAGGACTCAGGACAACTATGTTCAAACATTTCTTCTAGGCAATGAACCATGATTTTTTGTTATTGAAAACCAGCTGAACACCACTAAAAAGTAATCTCTCCAATTCGATTTACATACCAAGCTTCCTGGAAATGTGGCTTTGTACTTTAGGAGATTTTTTTTTTCCTTGAAGGGAAGGAATTCAATGAAATGCAAGTTACTTTATCCAATAATCTGTACTTTCTATTTTCCCTGTGTGAATGAAAATAAGAATCAAAAAATTCAGCAAGCTCTAATCCATGCATCCTTTATTCCATTACAATCACTGTGCTGCATTCTAGCAACAGGACACAAACTGCAATCAATCGCGGTCGATTTATACAACAATCTGAGGCTTACAGTACATTTAAGGCCTTTAAATTTGGAAAAATTAGACCTATGCTAGTAGTGTAACAATTTGTAAGTGTCTTGCATTTCTGATGCATCATCTGTGCGATTCCAGTGTCAAAGAATCAAATTACTTCTAAACTAAAAAGATCAGCTCAATGAAAATTTAGTTACATAAATTCATCAAAACATAAATGTGTAAATTTTTTTTTTTTGTCCTGGAAATTTTATAAAACTTTAATAGCAAAATAATGTAGGGATAAAAACATATTTTAACAAAATGTATTCAATCATATACAAACCAGAATTTTGCAGTTTATTGTAACTAGACTTAAATTAAAACTACCAATTAAGAATCTATGCACAATGTAAATTCAAATATGTACAGTACTTTTAAAAAGTCTACAGGAATGCTTTACAGAAGGAAATGTCTGTTATGGCTATTATTCAGACCATCTGAATATTAAAATGAGTTTTCTAGTAGTAATTTTACACATTTATTTTTTAAAGAAAAGCAATTTTGTCCCTAATTCCTTTAAGAATATTCCAGTTATGTTTATACAGGTAATGGAGAGGTCGTTACAGAGTTTAGCCCCATATAGTAGTTTGTTTATTTTCAGGAAAAAGTATATTTAAATAATTTACTTGGGAAGATCAGTAAGTTAACAAAAGAACACTAGAAGGGAGGAGGGGGAACTTCATCACAATAACTTTCCAGTTACAATACCACAGCTAGAAACTTTACAGAGAAGGTACTCCCTTAGATTGAACCCATGACCGATTGTTCAGAACAAGCTGTAGCTCCTACCAGTTGTGTTCTCCACAGTGAGAACACTGGGAAAAAAAGTCTTTGTAGGACAGAACTATAAACGATCTGAAGTGAGACAGAGAAAACTGATCTTCGATTAATACAGCACTAGGTAAAAAGTGTCCCCATAAGCAGCTAGTATTCCCACTTCCTTCAGGGCAACAAAGCTAAAAATTGTTGGAATTACAGTAGTTGACCATATCTGTGTGCATTAGTAGAATCATTTCCAGATATAAAAGACAAATTTCATCAGATGTTTGATTAGAACACCCTAAAGACAGGGCATTTCTTCATAGTATAAAGCTATTACAGCTATCCAGTTAAAGCATGTGCAAAACCAGGTAATTTCTTCCGTTCACAGTAACTGAGGTAAAATCAGGTAGGCTTCTTCAGGAGTTGGGAAGTTCATGAGATATGAACTGTTTTAGTCTCTCTAAGTACTGTGCATAAAGCTCTATGTCATTATGCCCAGCCCCTTCCACCCAGAGGGGCTCTACTGCTCGTGGACATCGCTCGTACATGGCCAGGCCGTGGGAGAAATCGATTACCTCGTCTTCGGTACCATGGATCACCAACACAGGAGAAGTTACTTTAGATATCTTGTCAATGCTAGGGGATGGAAAAGAAAAACAGAGCTCAGTTTGGGGCTTTGACTTCCATACCAATAAAGAACACAAGCTTAACTATTGATACAGGATCCAGTTACCACATTTTTAATCGGCTGCAAAATACTGGAGTTATGCCCAGGTGGTACAGAACCAGGCTCACTCCCAAGGTGCACGAGCAAACAGAGCCTGCACTGCCATCACCATCATTCCACCACTTCTGACAGCAAGATGGTCGAATGGGCAGCATGCAAATAAAGTTTGGCATAAAAAAAAACATCCCAAAACTGTAAAACACACTGAGAGGTAAGTAAGATTCCATGGGACCTGCTGTCAGTGTGGACTCCTTGCATCACACATTACCACCTTCCAGTTGAACAGATTAGGAATTAATTAACTACATTCCAGTCATAAGACTCATAAAAAAAAGAAGCCTTAGCTCCTGAGGTTTGAACACTTCTTTAAATCCCCAAATTAAAGCAGATTCAGCTGAAGAAAAACAATCTGTTCTTTGTACTGATTGTCTGAGCCCCAATGGCAAGAAAGAAAACTGGGAGAACGTTATACAAGGATATTTAATCACAAGCCAGAAGAAACACACAGGATTTTACATCACACAACCAACTTCTTCTGCAAAGAGGCCTTACATTTTTTTCCTTCTGTTCCAGCTACTCTTAAGAGAGCAATACAGCTGGTGACCACCTCTCACAGGAAAAGGAGTTCAGAGGGAAGGGAAGGGCAACAAAGGCACCTTTCACACCTACAAGTCCAGGCCAGAAAACCCAACTGTGAAGCACAGTGGCAGCACATGAACTTCAAAGTGGTGAAGAGCAGCTTTCTCTGACTGCCGTCATGCAGGCACCTGCCTTTATTTCCAGACTGCCACTTCCTGTTGGTAGTTACCAATAATTCCAAATCAGTGTATAAGCACCAAGTGCTCATGAACTCTTAGCTTCCTACCAGTTCCACTTAGATCAACAAATGGAGGAATTGGCTCTGGACAATATGCAGAGTATGGGATAAAGTAGGTGGAAAAATGAGTATCATTAATATTCAACTTGACAAGTCTACTTCTTTATGCTATCTAATAAAATATGTTTGGATTTTCCTGCTCCTGAAGAACACAAAAGCATGCAATTTTTATTAAGACTAGAGATCTTACAAAGTGATCAAGACTGCTTAAAATTATTTTAAAGTATTGATGCAAACACACACTGACTTCAAGACAGGTTTCAAGAAGCTTTATGAAAATATAAAGTTAATTAAAAATTACAATGTAGACTGAAGCACTAAACCTCATGCATATAAATCTCAGCATTTAGTATTCTAGAGAACTATCATTGGTATTCCAGTAAACAACTGAGTGTAAACACATTTCTGTCTCTGTCTCAATCAATACTTCCCAGAAAAAAACAGGCTTAGTTTCATTGATAGAGGAAAAGTGGTATATAAACTTAAAATGTAGCCTTTTTCATTCTTCCTGTCCGGAACTTGAGTTGTGTGCAACTATGCTGAATAGAGAAAAATATCCCAAGAACATGAGAAATCAGAATAATGCTATTTCTTTTAATATTTTTCATCCCCAAATTTAGTACCATAGGCAGAGGCAAATGCTTTAAAACCAACATGCTATATAAACTGAAGTCTTAACCCCATGAAGGGCTTGTCCCTGAGTTCCACAGTGTGACAGACATGCCAGCTGCATACAGCTACAGAGATGTTTATACATCATTTTAGTGGCTAGATATTAAGTTCTCATTTATTGTAGGAAACCAGGAAACTCCTTTCACCTAAATATCCAGATAATTAAACTATTTTTTCACATATATTCACAGACCATTTAGCTAGACAGTATTTGTATTTTGCAGAAAATTGGAAAGTGTCCCATTGCCAACTCAGCAACTCATAAGGCAGCATTTGAACTGCACACTGGGCTTACTTAGTATTCTTAGCCATACCACTCTGCAGCTAGAAAAATCTACAGAGACCAAATTCTCATGGAGTCCCAACATAAAATGCAGATAATAGCAATTCACTGTAGGTGCACACAGAACTATGTTGTTTCCCACTGTGAAGACAGACAGTTGAGCTGCACACATTCATAAGAGCACAGTGCTGTTTATTTTCACTGCTTACAGTGGGAGTGAAGTCAGAGTGACAGCAATGAACAGCTCAGTGGGGTAAGAAAAAAATACTCAAGTACATCTGTTGTCACTGTTCCCCCTCCCACTTTTTAAAACTATTTGATTTGGCTGATACCAGCTAATCACTGTTACTTCTGTAATCAGAGCTATTTTTAAGGCTTTGTTTTTTTCTCTCTCACAGAAGCATTTGTAAATAGTGGATTTCAGGTTTAAGCATGATGAATGAGTTGGAGCACAAGTGTTTTAAATTCTGACTGCATCTTCAACAATTTAATTACTTACTTAAATAATAACCCACTTGGAAAAATTCTAAACATGGGGACTGGATACAGATACTGGGAGAGCCACTGTTACTTGTTCACTATTACTTTTAGCTCTTTTGGCATACAGATTTGCATCTTCAGCCTTCCCCACCTTCTAATCTTTATCTGTTGTGAACAGAATAAACCAAACATAACAAATGCTACAAATATCCCCTACTCAGCTTACTGCAAACATGGCCTTCTGAAGCACAGTCAAGCTTTGCCCAAGACTTTAGTGAGTCTCTTATTTGTCTTCTCCCTTCCACAGACCACTTTGCTTTTTATCTGTGCCTCTTCTCACCACCCCCAGGTCTATATACACTGCTATAAAGAGGCTGGCTTCTCCTCTCCTATTCTCCCGTAATTTAAACTGGGTCAAATGACAAGTTTTAAAAGATTCCTAGAACATCTGCTATTCCCAGGACCTCTGCTACTGCCAAATATTTGGATACTCTAATTTAGGCCTGTTGTAACTGCTTTTAAAATGAAGCACTAGGCTATAAAGGAAACTGCTCTATCTTGAAACTACCTGTATATGGCTTTATGCATGCAAAATATTCTAGGGGTTCTTAAAACAAGCTGGAAATCTTCCAAAAGAGGGACAGTAATTTATTTTGGTCACAGACACCAGGATCTCACATGATCTGCATCAGGGAGATGTTTGCATCTTTGGTGATATATGGACAGTGACCAAAGATGCAGAAGTATTCTTACTTACAATGACCAAAGGCAAAGAAACACTAATTACATTCCCTCAAGGTTACACATGAAATGCAGAAGCAGGCTGAAAAGCAACCAACACACGGGCTGTCTCTTGTTTTCTACCTGTGAAAGCAGCAATTATCTCTACCTTTTTCTCTGCTGATTTGGCAAAACGATTGCAATATTTTAACAACCTGCTTGAGAACAGCACATCCATTTCATGATGCATTACCTTCTAAATCAAAGCTGACTGAATTATTAAGAAAGTACAACTACTCACTTGTTAGTCATCAGCCTGAAGGACATGGTGTGTGTATTATCAGTAGTTAAGCTACTACTCCAAACATGACAGCATAAAAATTCTGGTATTAACAGCCCAACACAAAAATACAGGGAAAAAGAATTGTAAACACTAAAACTTAATTTGTTCATTGAGTCATGTCAGTCTGAGACTGACATCAGTCTGCTTCTTTTACATGGTGAATTTCTGCTTGGATTCAGAAGCTGTGCATATCTAACATTTAAAATTCAAGTGACAATTCAATAAAATTCCTCAGAAAACTACACAACATAAAGAGCATCTTGAGCATATATTATAACCCTCTTTGCAGCATTGAGACATACCTTGGAAAAGCATCAAAGCAATAGGTTTTCCTAGTGTCAGGAAAAGCTACCCGTAATCCAGACATCAAGGGAGAATGAAGAATCACTGCTGCACACTCGTACCGAGATGCCAGGTCTACTGTTGGGACAGTACCAATACTCTGACCATACAGGATAATGTTCTCAGGACTCACACCATACCTGTAGAGAAAAGAAAACAACCCTTTAAAACAAAAAAACTCAAAACCACAACACATTTTGTATCAAAACAAGAAAAAAATCTGAACACAACCAAGCAAACAAAAGGAGAGGGGGATAAAAACCAAAGCATCCCCTCCCTCTCCCCCTGCATTGTAGCTGTTCAGAATCTATTGCCAGGAGATACAAATTTTTAAGTTTAAACTTTAAAACAGTCCAGTAAAGTAAATAATCACAATATTACACAGGCTGAAGAGAGCTATCCTCAAAGAAGGAATGTAATTTGTTTGTTAATCTTCACCTTCTTGACAAACACCTCTTATCTCTAACTCCACAGCACAGCAAATTATAAATTAGACTTCTCCCCTGCCTAGGGTCACTCTAAGGAATTTCAATTAGATATTCTGGAAGCTAGCAACCTTTCCATCATTAAACAAGATAGTTACTCCCCTGCCCAGCTTTATTTCTACACAGCTGGAACAAGTTGCCTTGTTAGTGTAGCTAAAGACACCAAAGAGAATAAAAAATTGTCAGGATAGTTCTGTTATTTTTTTTCAATTTCTGATCAGCTCTTTTCCAGCTTAAAATGTCAAACTTTTTTTTTTAACTATAAAGATGCATCATTTAATAAAATTCAAGGTTCATATGGAGTCCTGGATGGCCCCCTGACATTCCCATCGGGTCTACAAAACTATCCTAGCTTGTGTGTTTTTTCACAGCTGCAAAAAGTTGAGAATGATACTAATTCAGTTTTTACAGAAAGAATGCAATACAAAGGAATTTGGAAGGGGTGCAGGAGGAAGGGACAGTGGCTAGGAAGAAGTGGGTAGTACAAGAGTATTGGGGTACCACAACTTCTTGGGGAAGCTGCAACCAAAGCTGCTACTCAGTTAATTACATTCACCCAGAAGATTTCTATGTATAACTCTACCACCTCCTGCTAACTATATAAAGAATAATTGAGTGCAGAAGAGAATAAATTTCTCGGAGAAAATTTCTGCAGAACGTGTCTTTTTGCCAGTCTACACTGTCTACAGTCCTGCTGTCAATGCTATGACAATGAAAATAAAACCCTACAGTTTAGGCTATACACAATGTACACCTGGAAGGTTTCAACCTCCTCGCAAAGCAGACAGCAAGGTGTACAGCAGGCCTGGAGAGTTCTTGACTTTCAAACAGCTAAATGATTTGGTACGTGCAAGAGAAAATTACAGTGGAAGAAAAATCAATTATTAATTACAATAAAATAATCCAGTGCTAATTATCCAACTACAGGCTGTCAAGATAGCCTGGTTTTATGAAGTAAAACTAGGTTGGACTGTAGCCTCAGTAAAACTGCAATGTTCTTAATATTTCTATACTGCTCAGCATAAGGGTGCTTTTGGCAGCTACTGTAATATGAATAAGCAACTGTATAAAAATATCTCCCTGGAATAAAATCTTATCCTCTTGGTAACCAAGCAGCAGCTCACGTTGGTGGTCTATCACCACAGCCATGGCCTGATGTTTTTAAGAGATGTTGTAAAGCTCTTTTAGGAGCAGTTTTTCTCCCTCACCATTTAAGAGAGTCCAGCATATAGCAGAGCCTTGCTGGTTTTGACAGGAATGTTAACAGGATCTTGGAGCAAAGTCTTCTCCTCACAGACTTCATTCCAGCTGCTGGATGGGCAAGGCTGGAAACATGTACCTTTGAAGGCAGCACATGCATCCAACCTGCTGCTGCATCATATTAAAGACAGGCAGAAATGCACCAGTATCAGGGAATACAAGAAAGCAGGACAGGAACAAGATCCTCAAGTAGGTATGGGACGATATTAATGCTGCTAAGTGTCACAATACCATTCAGAACTCCAGTATCGAAAGTCCCCTTTCTAAAAGGTTTACAACTGAAGCAGAATATAGAAACAGATGTTTGAATGAGAACAGCAGGATAACATGATAACACGGGGTGGCAAGAGAATTCCTTCAACACATACAATTGCCTTAGCACAGCAATTTTCTTCAACACTGAACTGCTTTGGATTCATGTCTTTTGATGCTACTTCCTGAAAACAAACATTACTGTAAGCAGAGCATCTTGTTCCTTTGGCAATAGATCCTCTAGGGAAAAAAAATCTCCATTTCATAGTATGCCAGATGAAGTCAGATACAGTCTACAGCACCATTAAAAAACCTCACAGATCTGTAAATTTAAAATAACCCTTAATCATCAAATAAATGTTACAACTATTCAGTACCTAACTCTGCAGAAGGGTAATGTGACAACTTTGACCTAAACATAAAAAAACATCAAAGGGTATTAGGGCACTGAGTGCACTTGTAGCCTGTCATTAAGTCAAATGTCTTTCTACTTGTACTCCTGCTGACTGACAACTAACAGAATCTCTGAGATTGTTTAGGTTAGGGACAGTCCAGCCTTCCAAGACAGAAGAGTTACAGTAACAGATTGATCTTTTCAAGCCCTTTAGCATCAGGTGCTCAACCAGATGAGACATCAAGCTTATCACAAACATCAGCAGAAACAACTATATGTAAAATTTACTTATCATGAGTCCAAAGGACATATGAGAACTCCTAAGTAAGGGCCATGCATAATTGACATGCATGAGGTTCTTGGAGCTGAAGGCCAGGGCTTGGCTCCACAATACTTTGTGATACTCAGCAGGCACCATTCAGCTGAGGTACAGAACTACCTGGGGATTTTATCTTTAAAATACAGTATAATTAAAGCAAGGGCTGGGGCCCTTCCTCCCCACTCCCTTGTGGTATTAGATTCTTGTGCAACAGGAATAGTGATACAGAAAGTGAAACAAAAGAGAGGAGGAGCAGACATGGATAAGAAGGCATCAATGAAAGGGAAACTAAGTGACATGGAAAAAAGGAAAGAATGTGATAGAAAAAGACAAAAGACACTCTGAGAGAAGAGGAATTCTGCTACCATCTGCTCTCCTATTAAGGAAGAAAGTCCTTCCACCATCTAAACTGCAGCTTCTAAAAATATCTTCCTTGAAACATACGAGCTTTGGTCTCTGTGGAAACAGAGCTCCATCCAAAGGAGGGGGAGACCCAAGTTAAATTTGTGGATGTGCTCCTGCACTTCTGTGGAGCCCAGAGAGTTCAAAACAAGCAGGGCAACACTGCAATGTGGAAACCAGCCTTCAGCAACAGCAAAGCAGAAAGCAACTCAAATTGTTACTGTGGGCACACACATTTGACAAGGGGGTGGGAATAAAAGAAAACAAAACCCAAACTGGGCATGCCTTCTTCCCCAAGAGAAGTCAATTACTGAGAGGTGCAAAGCTACAGCCATTGAAATCGATGCATTCCTACTGCCCCCACCCACCCACACTTATCAGGTGGCAAAGTTCTTCAGCCAGGTCTATTCTCCACAACCCTTGAGTAGATTATCTGGATTACAGATTACATTCCTTACGTGTGTAGAAAAAAAAACACAACAAACAAACAACAAAAACCAACCCAGCTATCTTCAGCAGCAGAACAGCTATCTGTGCCTGTAAATTCCCACTTCAAGCCAGGTCTAGCTGAGGCACCAACACACTCCAAAGTTCACGCTAACACAATGGGTGGGTTTTCTCCCTGTGTTACTAGCTCCTTTTACACAAATTAGGTTTTCCAGCAATCCTGGCCTCCCTGTGCTAGCATGAACTACGGGCACTGAAGCTGGCTATTAAGAATCCATATCCTAGACTCTTCTACACTCCTGCACAGAGTAACAAGAGACCTCAGTCACATCATCAGTACAGCAGGATGGGAGACAGGGAATGTTGCTGATGCCAAAGACATCAGAGGAGGATGGGACACAATTATTTCTAGCTCAGTCATGTCCCTCCTCAGTTTCCTCATACAACACAGATGATGGTATCAATTGCCTCTGTAAAGTACTTAAAGCTTTCTGGCTGACAGCACCGAGCACAAACTATGTATTACCATAAAACATCTTTAATTATGCACATAAGATATGATTCCCCCCTTCACCCCCTCGGGCTTCAGCTTTGAGTGATACAGAAAGTTTACCATCCTAGCATTACCATGCTATTTTTACTCTCTCCTTACTCAGTGAAAGCACCAGTTGAATGCTGCTTTGGGGAGTACAGACGTGTCACACAGCTGAAGCCCTGCAATGTTCACGGCCAAAGTTACAGCATCTGTGCCAATACTCAAAGGTGCTAAATGCACATTCATTAATGAGGTCAGTTATTTTTTTCAGGCTCACTGAATCTGTGAAGTTAACCACACCTTATATTTTCAGTTCTGAAGTTTTATGGTGTTTGCTGTCTCAATATCCCTTACCCAAACTGAAAAGCATCTAGAACAGCACAACAGCAAGAAATTAGTTTTCAAAACCAGGCACAGTACTTTCTAGGCAGAGCATTTTGACAACACAAACCCCACTTCCTAATGCTGTTGTGATCAACTGTTTTAACTGCTACTAAACTAAGGCAGCCACCAGTGGTCAAGAAGGTAAAAGGCCAGGAAAACAAGGTGACTAGCTTGTGTGTTCTTGCAAGGAGAGCAAGTCTGAATCTGTGCACTCCCCTCTCAAGGGACTGAAATAATCCATTTTCAAGACACAAAGAAAACCCAGCGCACTGGAGGAACATCTGGATGAAATAGTGATTTGTAGAGTAAATGTGCTAGAACACACACGGCTCAGCTATAGTAAGACCTTCACAGTCTATTCCTCAAGTCTGTTTCTTACTGTTTATACAACATACTATTTGTTCCCTTTTCAAAATGCATTATCTCTAAACTTTATAATCCAGAGAAATTTAGATCACTTGTTAAGAAACACAGATAGGTTTATCTATAGCATCGTTATACATAAGATATGCATCTACATTTTCATTACATTAAATAACCATAACAAATGGTTATTTAACCATTTAACCGTTAAAAATATATATTTTTAGGGGTAAAGGAAAAAAAATAATAATCCCCAAGCAGTTGAAAACCCTACATGCAGACCGCATATCTTGAACAAG